TGACGTCATCTTGGGAGAGGCAGGATTTACCAGATAGGGTCAGCCCTTTGTGTACACGGCAGTACAGCCCCCTGGGCTGAAGCATCTCTGCACACTCACAAAAAATCGGGCTTATTTGGTTTATCTGAAACCTTGTGAGCATGGGATCACAGCCCTTCATACTGCCAGGAGAACAAATTCAGTGAGGTACAGGTAAGCTTAGCAGTATATATGTCTCCTGTGAGGACAGGCTGAGAGAGTTGGGCTTGTTCAGCCTGGAGAAGAGATGGCTGCAGGGAGACCTGACTGCAGCCTTTCAGTACCTAAAGGGGGCCTGTAGGAAAGATGGGGAAAATCTTTTTAGTAGACACAGCTGTGACAGGACAAGGGGTAATGGTTTCAAACTAAAACAGGGTAGGTTTAGACTGGATCTAAGGAAGAAATTCTTTACAATGAGGGTGGTAAAACACTGGAACAGGTTGCCCAGAGAGGTGGTGGAGGCCCCATCCCTGGAAGCATTCAAGACCAGGTTGGATGGGGCTCTGAGCAACCTGATCCAGTTAGTGGTGTCCCTGCTCACTGCAGGGGGGTTGGACTCGATGACCTCTAAAGGTCCCTTCCAACCCAAACCATTCTATGATGCTGTATTTGTTTTTGTTGTTACAAATCACAGCTAGTGACTGAGAACTTAGCTTCTAACACCCTTCTCCATCTCTAAGTCTCCACACGCTCAAAAAACCCACATTACTTGAGCACCTCATTCTGAAATGGAGTCAGCACTCCTGTCCATGAGCTCAGAGCATCTTTTGGGTCAGAAGCAACCTGCAAGGTACCTGGTAGAGGCTGTAGCCATCAGTACTAACTTTCAGCAGAAACATAGCTGTCAGGATATCTCCTGTAGGCGAATTATCTCACAGTGAAAAAGCCTTTGAAAGTTTACATTTCCACTTGAAGCATTTGAAATCTGCCATCAAGAGGAGGTTTTGAAATGGTTCAAGTGACTACTTCCAAGGTGTATTTATTATACCGTTTGCTTTTAAGAAGTTGTATTTTGCCTAGCTCATGTCATATGATTCATGGATACAGACACACTTAAAAATGAAGGATTTATTCGTTTAAACATACTTGGGCATTTAATTTCTCCAAGCAAAAATCCTTCTGTGGGAGGATACCATCTTGTATGTGTACATATCAAAGGAGAAAATGCAGTAACCACATTATACATTCCCAATTATTCCCTGGAGGAAATAATGAAATGAAGGGGGCTTTGAAAAGGAGTCAAGCTTCATGTGGTATTATACAGTGTCTTTTCTTTGATATAGCTCAAAAGCAAGGGGGGTCCCAGCTCTCCCTGCCACAAGTATGTAGTTCTGTCTGCAGCTTGCAAATGATAAACTGTAAGCAGTGGACAGAAGGGAGATTTGCATCGATAGCTCTAGAGATCTGTACCTGCAGGGAAGGTATTTGTTTGGGACTCTATCCATCCAACTGTGACAAATGAGGGCAGGAACAGGTTTAGGTAATCAAGACAGGCATGAGAACATAACAAAGGCTGCAGAGACAGAGGGAGGGATGCAGAAAACATGCACGTGCTAGGCAACATCACATAAATAGGATGTGACTATCAGAATATGAATTATGGTATAAATTAAAAGGCAGCGATGGGACCTTTACCTACGTTTGTGTTGCTGGGGCAAGGAAATAATTTAGCACAGGCTCCTTCCTTTCTCAGTAATCTTTTCAGTGTTTTTATATTTCCTGACGTATGCCTGTAGATCTGACTGCCACACAAAGGTGCCATAACATCCCCTCTACCATCCAAAGATCAAACACGAGACCGGTGATACGCTTCCCACACAGGGCATTAAACCGGACGTCGCCTTCCTGTGCTTTTCCTCGCAGCAGGTGCTCGGAGCCAGCGCTGTGTCCCTGTGCTCCACCCTTGGCAGTGCACAGCGAGGTGGTCTGCAAAACCGAGGTCCTGCAGCGATGACGTCACTAATTTTAAAAGATCTATTTGGCCACATTAAATGGGACATCGCTGGAAGGCTCAAGGTTACAATGTGCTCTCTTGAAAACCGGGAAAAGAATTTCATGGCTCTTGAAAAGCCCACTTTGGAGCCTAGATGCAGTTGCAATGCACTTGGAGCCACTACTTTCATTCAAAGAGACCCAAATCTGATATTCCCTACAGCACAGACAGATGGTAGGCTTCAGTATCTCCATGACAAGTCATGAAAGTTATCATCTCAGACCCTCTCTGACTGACTGACTTTGTGTTATGAAAGAATCTTACCCACTTGTTAAAAACAAATAATTAAACCCCACCATCTTATCACTCAAAAGCGTGCCAGACTTCGAACAAAAAACCAATCTTTGCATGAGGCTAATGGCAATAATTCTGTGAAGCCTCTGGTTGGCTTTCACTTTAGCTACACTGCAACCAGAGGTCATAAGATTGTATCACCCACCCCATGGCGGCTGTTTATGCAACGGAGCAAGTCGAAAAGGAAGAGGAAAATTCCAGAATCCATCAGAAATGCCAGCTAGAAAAACAAAGCAAAACAAACGCATTTTCTGATGAGCTGATACCCAACTTCTCTTTCATATTCAAGCCCTAGCAGTGCAGGGCACAGCTTTAGCATCAAGCTAATGGAAAATTAGAGGTGCTACAGTTGGCTGGGGATCCCTGCCCAGGCCCCCACAGATCACACCTGACAGGGGCAGATGCAGCACCCATCTGCGTGGGGAAGCGGAGGTCTGCACAGCTGCCACTCCGGTAAGACACGGATAGGAGCACGCACTGCACCAGACAGAGGACTTCGGGCTCCCAGGCTCACCTATAAACCTGTATCTGATGTGGGAACAACCATTCAAGATAAAAATAATTGTTAAGGGAAGATAGGTTACTTTCAAGTTCTTCAAAGACTCCTGCACATAGCTGCGAGTAAAATATGAATCTTAAAAGGGTGATCTGTTGGCAGCCCGTTATACAAACGTGTTTCAAAATGGCTGCGATAAAGCTCTCCACCAACATTTCTGCAAAAACCTGCGAGCTGCTGGAATAAACGCTTCGGTTTTCTGAAAAACAGTACGGAAACAATGTACAATTCCAACATGGATAGTAAGTAGAGTTGTGCTTGAACACAAATTCTTGTAACTTAATTCATGCCTAAACACCCCAGCCAAATGCTGTTCTCAGCTATGCCAGATTGCAAAGGTAGAACTCAAATAATCTTAAATCTTAAACTGTCTAGATTTAATGAGTTTAATGAACACCTCTACCAGACTCTAAACCAAACATGCCCAAGTGTAGCGCTTCAAACCAGACTTGAAGCTATTAGGTGTTCCGCAGGTTCACTCTCTGCTAAATGGGAGAATAAATGTGACCTAAAAATAGGACTCAAAACTTGATTTGGATTGGGATTGCTTAGCAGGAACCACTTCACTTCTTTCATTTATAGCAATGTAAATCCAGAAAGGCACCTTTTTTTTTATGAATTAAAACAACCTCGAGTGATAGTAGAAGTTCAAAATACATGATGGCTTCATCTGATTGATAGAAACATTTTAACATTTGTGCTTTAATTCTGCAGCAAGCTCTTTTCAAGTTAGAACTTGTTTGAAACCCGAAGAACCTTACAACAGATAAAAAATAATTGACTGGATTAAGTTTATAGCTCTCCTTATCTGGGCAGTTGCCCTGCACAATTAAATAAAGAGACATTTGGATTACGCTCTTTCTTGATGTGGGATAGTGTTAGATAACGCCCATGACAGGCTTTTAGCTACAGCAAACTTACGTAATTGCCAGGGAGAATATAATGTCCTGTTACCAAGCCGCGGTCTGTGTTTACCAGTGTTTTCCCTGCACTTGAAACTTCAAAGAGTCCTCGCAGGATTGGGACCTAAATTAGCTACTACAAACAAAAGGGTTGGGAAAGGAAAGCTGGGCTTTATGGCCATGGAAGCAGACAGGACAATGATTTCCTTTCACGTGTATCTGTTGCCTTCCTTGTGCCTACGGTGTCCAGGTACAGCTTTCAGAGAGAGGCGAAATGAATGTTTTCAGAGGGTGGAAGATCCTGAAGAGAGATCTAAAATATGTTTAGATGGGACAGCTAAAAAGGAACTCCTCCAAGGCTGGCTGGTCCAACATTGAGATCCTTTGTTATCCTACAGCTTGGTTCTTACTCAATGCCACATCTTGGAGGAGGTCAGAGAACCAAGCGCTGAGCAGTGACATGGCTGATAACCTCTCCTAAACTGAAGTTTGGCTCTTAATTGGGATGACTGCTGCTACCCATGCAAGGTGAGATGCCACTTCCTGGGAGCATGGGCTTCTTTATGAACCCTCAAAGGGTTAAAGCCCACCTCCCTTCAAGGAGCAGAAACTCTGCCACTGGCACAAGTGGGTGCAGCACCGGCCACAAGCACAATTCAATATCGACCGGTAGTTTGGTCTTGCTCTCTTTGAAGGAAACATCTGCTCTCTGTCAGAGACATCTGCCCGCAGACCTCTGCCCTGTCCTCCACACCACAGCTTGGCACCACGATTTATTCAGCTGGGAACTGCCCCCAGCGCCAACGGGACTTGTGCCTGGGTAAAGACAATGCTAAACAAGCTCTCTACATATAACCCTACCCTCTGCCAGCCCTGCTTAAAGCATCCTGTTAGTAACAAAATCCTACCCTTGCCTGCAGTAGCTGAAGGGATGTGCCTTTTGTGTGGCTGAGGCTAGTTTGGGGCTTTGTCACCTGGCAGCCCCACCTCCGATGGACACCCTACAAAGTGCAAAAATGGCCCTTACTGTTGACAACCCCTCCACCGTACCACTGTTAGCCTGGTCATGCCACAGAGATGAGTGAAATCGAATTTGCACTGACAAAATTGTGAATAAAATTGAGCCCATCTTCTAACTCTCCCTGCAAACTCCGCAAGTCTTACACAAATCCATGTGTCTTCCCCTCTTTCTCTCCTTATTGTCCTCCAGATTTCCAAAAGCAGTATTTTACTGAGGGAGCAGATCACATACACCTCTAGCATGGAGCGCAATACTTGTCCATGTTATAGATACGGGTATTTGCATCTTCTGATATGCTTAGTTGTTATTTTCCTGAACAGGTTTTGAAGTAAACCACTTCTATGTAACTCATTTCAGCAATATTGCCAGAGAACTTTTAATAGCATAAAAATAGTTTTGCTCTGAAAAACCTGGCAGTCCTGTCTTCGCCATCTTTATTAGTACTATTTCCATGACGTTATCAATAAATCATTTTACTTAAAGCTTCTAATTCATTACTCTAACAGTGACATGATCAGAAACACGCTAAAGTTTCTTCTTAGCATCTGTATTTGTAAAAAAAAAAAAAAAAAAGTTTACATTTACAAAAGACATTAGCCAAATTTGTTTTGAATCCACTTGAACGTCACTCTTATTAATTGCTGGAGCTGAATGATCGTAGCATTTGACATCTGAAACTTCTGTGGCTTTTTGTCTAAGCAAAGAAAACAGCGATAATGGACAACTTCCAGCTGCAAACTTTTTTTTTTTTGACATTGCACAGGTTTTATTTTGATTAACGCAGACAAGTTTTTTCCAAATTTCAATTCAGTGATGTTAAAGCAGGCATTTCTTAATGTAATGAGAGCAGAAGTTTGAGCCCTACAGGACATTTTAACTCCTGTTATAGAGCTTTAAGCCCTAAAAATCCTCACCCACCCACACGCACTCCCTTTTAACCCTTAAGTTGCCACGTGCAATAGAAACGCAAAAAGAAAACATCGCGTGCTGTAAAGAGGCTTAACACTGCGATCCCCTGGGATTACTGGTTATTCTTATGTATTACCAGTTCGGGCCAGCTGCTGACCGAAGGAGGCTCCTATTGACTCTGTGGCACAGAGGGAAAAGCTCTAGGCCAAGTTAAAGCTAACAGGGCAGATGATACATTTAGAGGGGCTACAGTTCAGTGCATTGCATGCCACCGATGTCGTTTTCAAGTTTGTAAGAGGGCAGTAGTTTCCCATCGCTTGAAGCTCAGATGCAAACCGTCCACTGCCACATTACCGAGGTAACTTAATATACAAAGGCGCTGACTTGTATGTTCCTACGAGAACTTAGGTTTATGTTATTTGGTGAAATACAGCTGCAGATGGAAGAAATGGATGATTTTCCTCCTTCAACCTCTTTTGGCAGCTGCTGGTTTGATCTGATCACTGGCCCCCGATTTGTTTCCTCCTCCAGCCAGGGTTCAGCTCCGCTCTGTAATTCCAAGCAGATGAGCCGGGGAGTCCCACCCTGTAATTACACCTCCTCTCTTTACCCTCTAACTTCAAACCTCCCATTTCGACTTTTACATCTCAGATCACGGAGTTTTAAAGAACACCTCTGGCGCCCCGGCAGGTCTGGCTCAACTAAAGACATTTCTCTGCTCTCCAGATTTCATAGCTGAGCTGTGAGAAGGGTATAAAACCCCCTCCTGGGGAACAAGGTCCCTTGCTCTTTCTTTCTCAAAAGAAAATACACCATCGGAAGCCCATGCTCTTTATTATTTATTGAATACCGTCTGTGTGCTTAGCACTTGTACAAACACAGAGAGAGACAATCCCTGCTCCACCAAATCCACCCCTGGAAGAGCTTTGAAATCCTTATCCCAGCTCACAGATCTCACATGGAATCCGTGTAGGTCACTTGCACCACAACAGTTAAAGTAAATTCCTCTTTTTACGAGAAAGCTTGGGGTCCTAAGAAATTTAACTGAAGAAGGCTGGATGCTACAAAGTACTTCAGAATTAGGAACACTCTTCAAAACGATGCTGTAACCGAGTAAGTTGTGTCACTCTTTCAGAACAGGATCGCGCCCAGATTTTTCAAATCTGGCTGCCAAATGTTAGCCATACCTAAGCAGCTCATCAAAGAACCTCCTTTTCAGAAGTTGCTCCTGAAGAACGCTGCCTTTCTGGAAAGATGGGTTATCTGCTAAGTGCCTAAATATGGATTTACAAACTGAACTTTTAAATCTAAATACTCTGGCTTTTCTCACTAAAATTTTGCCTACTGTGCAGTTTGAGAGAAACGTCAGTCCAGGGCTAAGCCGAGTGTCAGAACAGGACCGCGCATAACGACACCCACAGTCTCCATGCTCTATGCTCTGCAGCAAAACATTTTTAGCTGGGTATGAGACCCGCTGCTGGCAAACTCCGCTGCCTCAGGCTTCCCAGCCAATACCTCCACATCAAAAACCTCTTCTTTGCCCGCAGGTGAAACGTGGGTCCCACGGAACATCTCGGCCGAGCGCCCCCCAGTTTGGTAGAGCCAGCCCTTTGCCCGGAGGCGAGTGAAGCATCTTTGCGAGAGGCGCCCGGACCAGCAAGCAGTTCCAGGCGTGCAACGACAGCGCCGCCGACACCAACT